ACCCGGTTACGTGTGTGCTAACAAGCAAATTTAGGCGATTCATCATCTAACCAAATCATCAGTCAAACAGCGGCCTATTCGTCTGGAGCGGATGACTATACCACCTGGTTTAAAAAACCGTAGATTACGCCGTCTTGGAATCCCATGCTGACAGTTAGCTTGCTAGTGTTGACCTGGAATATTCCCGGAGGTTGCAGGTTGGTATCATGAGCAGCAGCAAGTGCAGCAAGTCCTGTCACTCCTGGACCTACAAGACATTTCCACACACGAGGAATCCTGTCTCCCGGCTCCGTAGTCAGATAGTCCATTGGTTGCCGGTCAACCGAAAGCAGATCCGCTGAGCCAACTATGCCGCCGTCCAGACCACCAAGGACAGAAAGATACAGCGTCTGCTGTGCTCGATTGGTCGTGGAAGAATCCATGCAAAAGTGTTATATCTGCTGATTCGCCGGCCTGTGGTATCTGCTGCTGACCTGCTCCAATGCCTAGTGTCGGAGAGAAAAAGGCTCACGGAAGGGAACACAATAGCTATATTCCAACAAAGTGGGTGCGAGAGCGCGAGTGCGTGCGAGTGCGAAAAGTACAACGGCCTCAAGCTTTTTATTGGAAGGACACTATCTGAACTTGGTCCAATGCTGACGCACACGGTCTGGCTGCGACGTGCTGCATATTGCAGGGGCGTCGTCGGACCTTGATCAACGCTCACTCGCGCTGTCTGGGTTTGATACAAGGCTGTGACGCGCTGCATATTGAGGGGGCGTTGTCTATCTGGTTAACATCTAGCGGACCTGAGAGTCTCGGTAGATTTCGGGCATTCAGTGGTTGCTTTCAGGAAGCTGACCTTCCTGATAAAAAGTAACTGTGGTCTATCTCTGGACGCCAAGTAATACTGAAAACAGATGCTGTCTCTTCCAAAACACTTGGATAACCAGCCTATTCGCGCAGTGCCACCATCGGATTGGAGTTTGATCGAGTCCAATACAGGTGAGGCTGTTGGCCTTACGATCGTCCCCAGATCTGGACAGGCTCACGTCAAAGATGATTTGTTGGTCCAGTACCAGCGCCCTTGCTTGGTGTTTCAAATTCCCGTTATCATCTGGAGTTGTCTGCCGCAGCTACATCGTGCTCGTATTACTTTATTTCCGAAGGTCCCACATCCAACTTCATCGGATCAACTGAGATCAATCTCCGTGTCATCCATTCTTGTTCGATGGTTTTATAAGGTGCTGATCGCTGGAGACGTAGACTGCAACTGCGCGGTCTCCAGAGCGACTGGTTGGAGAAGCTGAAAGATATGGCCGCTAATTTTTGACAATGGCGTTCGTGTTGTTAGTTTCTGTCCATATTACCTAAATGAGTGTCTAGAGTGTAGGCACCACGGAACAATTGTAGTAAGCTAGCACTAAGTCCCTTCCCTGTCCACCTATATTTTTTCTTTCACAATGAGACTTGTACGGCAATGGACCATCGGTGCTAAACACTGACGTCATGCTATCTATGATTATGGTGGAACCGCAACTGCCCTCAATCCAGTTTGCACCTCTTTATCGAGACGGTTATTTGGATTCAACATCGGTGTTACACACCCCCCTTCATCAGTCCTCAAAGACTGCCTCAGCTTGGCCTTCTTTGATATCTCGAAAGCGTTTGATTCGGTTTCGCATGACATGATTATCAAAACTTCCGAGGCTGTTGAAGTACCGTCACACCTAGTTCGATACATCGCACGGTCCTATGAGAATACTCTAGCAGTTTTACCCAATTCCGAGGTCAGCTGTCACATAAGTTTGAGGTGTGGTAATCTACTCTTCCCAATATTGATCATCGTAGTAATGGATTGTTGATGCCACAACTGTAATATTAGTCCCAGTTCCCTTTGCTGGGTCCTGTGCGCAGAAAATGAGGCATGCCCTGAAGAGAAGCTCTTAGCTGCTGCAGCCGAACTGAGAAGAGTTGTTATGAAGATCAATGTTAGAAAGACGAAAGCAATGGTGATCTGTGGGGAAAGAAAACATCGAGCGACGGAGATCTCAGACGAACTTTTTGCTTCAGCGAGAAACCCATCGATCCTCTGGGTCTGACAGACACCGTGACATATTTAACCAGCCCCTTTACTTACAAGGGGGAAGGAGTCTGTACCCACCGACGGTGGCTGTGGAAACTGCTTGATGAGGTGACGAGTGCCTCGTTGGTGCAGCATCAAATAATGGAGATCATAAGAAACCACTTGATATCGAGCCTACATACTGGCACATGCTTAACCAAGTCCACCAAAGCATCCTCAAAATATTGGACGAATATACCGAGCAATCTATTTGTGGCTGGCTACGTATAACGGAGGAGACCCCGATCAGCTACATTCACGCTAGTAAGTAACAAGGGGGAATTAGAATCCAAAGTCTTGGTGAAACCATCCCGACGCAGCGGACAGCTCGTATGGAAAAGCTCTCTGCGCAGTGCCAAGTGTGACGCAATGTGGTCAGTGATTCCGCAGTTGGTAAGAATGTTCAGGACTTCAACCTTCCGATCCTGGTCCAAGAGGCAGGCGTAAACACCCAGGAAAAGCCAGTGGCTGCTTGGAGCGATGGTCTAAGCAGTAGCTTTGACGGTTGCCGTTTACGAGAATTGATCGCTTCGCATTACCAGATGGCTTTTATCTCCAGAACGAGTTTTTCCTCTGATGCTTATTTGCAGTATCCAGCTCCGGTGCACCCCGCTTGAGACGAAAGTTAGAAGTTCCCGATCTGGTCATCGTGGCTACGCGAAGTTCTGTCGGGGAAACTGTGGCCAACCTGACAGTGCTCATCTTAATCTGGTTGCAGGGGGACTAGCAGAACGTTCACTCCCAATCTCTCCAATCTTACGTGCAATCTATTGTGACATCCACGTTTTAGTCCACCAACTAATTATCGTTTCATATATGCCTCAGCTTGGCCTTCTTTGATATCTCGAAAGCGTTTGATTCGGTTTCGCATGACATGATTATCAAAACTTCCGAGGCTGTTGAAGTACCGTCACACCTAGTTCGATACATCGCACGGTCCTATGAGAATACTCTAGCAGTTTTACCCAATTCCGAGGTCAGCTGTCACATAAGTTTGAGGTGTGGTAATCTACTCTTCCCAATATTGATCATCGTAGTAATGGATTGTTGATGCCACAACTGTAATATTAGTCCCAGTTCCCTTTGCTGGGTCCTGTGCGCAGAAAATGAGGCATGCCCTGAAGAGAAGCTCTTAGCTGCTGCAGCCGAACTGAGAAGAGTTGTTATGAAGATCAATGTTAGAAAGACGAAAGCAATGGTGATCTGTGGGGAAAGAAAACATCGAGCGACGGAGATCTCAGACGAACTTTTTGCTTCAGCGAGAAACCCATCGATCCTCTGGGTCTGACAGACACCGTGACATATTTAACCAGCCCCTTTACTTACAAGGGGGAAGGAGTCTGTACCCACCGACGGTGGCTGTGGAAACTGCTTGATGAGGTGACGAGTGCCTCGTTGGTGCAGCATCAAATAATGGAGATCATAAGAAACCACTTGATATCGAGCCTACATACTGGCACATGCTTAACCAAGTCCACCAAAGCATCCTCAAAATATTGGACGAATATACCGAGCAATCTATTTGTGGCTGGCTACGTATAACGGAGGAGACCCCGATCAGCTACATTCACGCTAGTAAGTAACAAGGGGGAATTAGAATCCAAAGTCTTGGTGAAACCATCCCGACGCAGCGGACAGCTCGTATGGAAAAGCTCTCTGCGCAGTGCCAAGTGTGACGCAATGTGGTCAGTGATTCCGCAGTTGGTAAGAATGTTCAGGACTTCAACCTTCCGATCCTGGTCCAAGAGGCAGGCGTAAACACCCAGGAAAAGCCAGTGGCTGCTTGGAGCGATGGTCTAAGCAGTAGCTTTGACGGTTGCCGTTTACGAGAATTGATCGCTTCGCATTACCAGATGGCTTTTATCTCCAGAACGAGTTTTTCCTCTGATGCTTATTTGCAGTATCCAGCTCCGGTGCACCCCGCTTGAGACGAAAGTTAGAAGTTCCCGATCTGGTCATCGTGGCTACGCGAAGTTCTGTCGGGGAAACTGTGGCCAACCTGACAGTGCTCATCTTAATCTGGTTGCAGGGGGACTAGCAGAACGTTCACTCCCAATCTCTCCAATCTTACGTGCAATCTATTGTGACATCCACGTTTTAGTCCACCAACTAATTATCGTTTCATATAGAGGAATCTGCTTTCCTCAATCCGCCAAGGCTGATATTGGGCTTGAACTTCCTAAGTCCTTGTGCCTATTCGCCATTTCGGGCTCTCTGCGTACTTACGACACCGTTATGCGTGGTATATCGGGTTGGGTGTTCATTCTAGTCATAGTCTTTCACACACGACCCAGTATGACGGACACTTTGTGCCTGATTTGCAAACAAGTCTTGACCGTGCTAGTGCTTACCGCACCTTGGAGAGGATTTATTTTGTACTTTCTTCAGTTGCTGGTTAGTACATGTGTGTTTTCATACCAATTAGTTCTTCATACGTTGGAAATTATCTTGTCTGACCGAAACTGTTGGTGGCACGCCTTTGAGTTGGGTGCTGCCCTCGTTTTATTCTGGATTCTACTGCTCACCCTTCCATACCTATCGCTCGGATTTACTTTTTGTATTTATGACCATATCCTTAAAAAATAAACAATATATTTAACAGAACCATTCTCTAGGTTTCCAGGTTTCCACACACTTTAAAACAATGGTTTTTCGAATCACGCAAGCCACCTTATTTCTATGTCCAAATCGGCAGGGTTGTCCTTTTTTGAGGTAAGAAGATCTGGAACCGCTTTTCTATGCATAAATACCTTCTTGGTGGAATACAGTTGGATGATATTTGCTCGTGCTGTATCCACGAAGTCGACATGGTGGTTTCAGGATGTTGAATGAGAGAAGCGAGTAGCTATATTCATCAACCGTGATCGAGAATAAGATGCAAAACGAAGATACTTACTTGCGCACATAACGTAGGGGCCAAACTTGAATGGTGGCGTGATATAAGGGATCGAGAAGTTCAAAAGCCATTGGAGTAATTTTTAGGAGATATCTTCCGGAAATTCCCAGTTCTCGCGCTTTTTCCGTCTGGATGACTGAAACTTCGTAAGCATCTAAAAACGTAACACCCCGTTAATCAATTAATAAAAAGTTTATTGTTCCCTTACACTGTCACTACTAGGAGCAAAAATCTCGTGGATCTGGAATACACAGCTAACCTTATGCGTTTAGCCGTAAGATTTTGGGCAGTTTTTGAGCGGAAATCTTTCTTACACGGCCTTCGCAACTCTGACTAAACGAGCTGCTGTATTTTCTTGCCGCCTTATTACAACAAAGGGTGATCAGTCTTTATCGCATCGCAGTTGATCGATGAATTAGATGTTTCAAGCCCAAATTAGCAAACGTTATAACTCACTCTATGGAATGTCTTAATTTCATACAAACTGGTTGCTCCACATACCATTACGAGTGCAAATCGTTCAAAAGCTTTCTTGTAAGTCTTCTAGATTTATCATCGGTCCAAATATATTTCGCATTTGTTACAAACCACAACGTTGCGTGAAAAATCACACGATAGGTTTTGCATCATCTCAAATATGCCGAGGAGTTCCATTTGGAAATGGCTTCGATGGATGGCATATCAGTCAACTTAATTCTACCGTATTTATTTGGAATTTCTTCTAGCTGAAATGACATTGTCCAGAAACAGTAGCCAGATAATACTGAGATGTTATTGAATATGTTTTCTTCAGATCAAAACACAAGTTAACGGCTCGGTAGCGTGCTGAATGGAGTTGGTAAACTCGATCAAAAATGGGATTTCAGGAGCCTAAAGTTTAGAAGAATCAGTAAAAATCGCCTGGTCTGCAACAAGGTGTCTGGCTGAATAGAAATTCGTTATGATCAGAATGGCAGCCACTCGCTGATGCAAAAAATACCTGGATCAATACCAAACCGCAACAAATGCTTATGACTCAATTTGCAGATGCATGTGTCCCTATGTAGTCCGCATTTATTCAACGAGTTAGTGGTGGCGAATGTTTGACAATTAAGCATTAAAATGGGAGAAATGTCGATAAAGTATCTAATGTTGCAATAGTACCACTGCATCTCCAACTACCCACTTTTTGCCAGATCGTGATAGTCCAGTAACAATCACTTTTTTGCTAGCTGAGTCTCGTGACGCCGGGTACAGTGAAAATATTTGCTACGCATGCTCAACGACGGCCAATGGATACCATTACCTTGTCACTTTGGTAGTACGAATATATAAGGGGGGTTCACGCACAATTAAAAACGACGTGTTGGATAAAAGATCTTAAATGGTGTAGCAAACGGATGTATTGTACACTCCTCTAGCTGTGTTGTGGTGGAGTATTTCAACAATTCATGCTGAAGAATTGCAGGTACTTCCACTGAGTAACATTTCCCTCTATATGAGAACTCCAGGTAGTTCGGAAACACTAGATTATACGATAGAAAGTTGCATGGAAGACTACATTTGCAAACCAGTAGACCAGCTGCATAACTATCCTCTCTAAAATCCGTAGACTAACTTAGCAGGAGTGACTTACCAGAATGTATATTGACCATTAAGCAATTGCGAACGAGTTAACCTGCTTGTGCATCAACCCAGATTTGGCAGTGAAGCATCGGTGTTGAACACTGATGTAATGCTGTTGATGCTGATGATGATGATGGTAATGTCCGAACTTTTATGGCAAGGTACGCATTATGCATCGCCCGTATGTTGAACCACCATCAGTTGTAACGGAGACTGATTACTTGTTCTGGACATTGTAGTGGCGTCCTAATGACTCATAAAGCTAAACACATGTAAGATATTACACCTATTGGCTCATGAGGAGTGGTCATTTTGAAAACGTTTCCCTTTAACCATTAGGTGTTGGGCAAGTTGAGCAATAACCAACTAAAATCTTGAATAAAAGACTAAAATATAAGGCCGTTTATTCTTAATAGCAGTAAAGGACTCACCAGTGACTGAAGTACTCTCATAAACTTCATTATCCAGCATACATGGAAGGGCTGACGCTAGAAAATCCAATTCAGACGGTTGAGATATATCCCAGTGCAGCGGCGATCCCGATTCACTGCTCTTTAAGCATTGTACATGTTGCGTTCGCCGAGTAATCAATGTGTGAAGTGTTATGTACCAAAGTTCTTGTTCGCATCTGTTAGTGAATCCTATCCACATGTGTTTCTTGGCAAACAAAATACGCGAAGACAAGTGTATTCGAAACAGAGGTGTTTGGATTAGTTTTGCACACCTCAGCTGTTTGCCTGCAAGATGCTTTGACGTGTAGCCGTCTTCTGGAAGCACTTTTTTATGACATAAACGGAATTGTTTCAGTGGCACAGTGAGCTTAGTGTCCGGAATGTCGAGTGTTTCGTAGTCCGTTTCTTGCATGTCAGCTATAATGGTTGCATCGCTGATTCCGTTTGTCAGAATAAGAAGTGCGCGCGTCCATTGTCTCCGCTTAAAAAATAATAAGTATACGGTTTAGAACCACTGTATTAGACATATGCGAGGCGTATAATGGCGTATAATGGTCTGTAACCCACTGCCAGATGCTTTTGGCAGCGCGCTCCTGGTGTTGCCCAATACACTTCACATACTTCACTTGTCAATTGTCTAAGCGTTATAAAAGTATACATGTCCAATCTTAGGTGCACAGTTCACCTCCTCTATTACATCACTCAAAGCATCATAGTGAACCCTCAGATAAGATTGGCCGAATTCCTTAGGGAAGCAGCTCTGAAAACCTATTGAGGAGTAATTTGCTTAGTAGGGAATGTCCCTTCTGGAGGGGTTACAAGAGTCACTACAGGGCGAATTTCTTCAAACCATGCCACCTTTGGATAAGAAGAGTCTCGCTTTAGGTAGAGGGCTTCATGAATAATGGTATGACTACCTCTACATGTTGTGGAGTGGAACGCCGTTTGCATGCATGTAAACCATCGACAGGTGCAAAATATCTGTTTCCATAGGAATTTCATGGGAGCAATTTCAGACATTTGCAGCATTTGCAATTACCGTCATCTTATAATTTTTACGTAGCTTATAATTAATTATTACAAATAAACCTCTTATGGTGTATCGCAGTAAGGAGGCCCTCTAGCTAGGGAAAATGCCTTTGTTTGTCCCTCATTATGAGATTTTATGCTTCTTGTGTTAGCTGCTCAAACAAATTTGCTCCTTGTTTCCTATGAAAGCAAATCATAAACCATAATTTTTGAACTGAAATAAAAAATCTAGCTTATTCAGCTGCAGCTGCCTAGCTGCCATGCCACCCGAAGGAAGCACGAGGGCTGGGATACTGTCAGGTTGCCCAAACCTAGGCAGAAGTTGAGATGCAAAGGTCGGGTTCAAACCACGGATCTTCCGGTCAGTAAATTTGCGCTCTTAACTGCTGAGCCGTCACGCCTTTATTGAAATAAAGGTACGCTCGCTATGTTGTGATACCACACTGTTCAACTACAATAAACAAACGTTTTGGAAGGTTGTTTTGTTGCGGTATCTTTATACAGCCAGGCCAAATAATTTGTAAATCTTTTTCATGACTGTTCGTAGCAACAAATTGATAAAAATACGCTAAAAACTGGAATATTGCCCCAACAGATAAGCAATGTGTGCTTCAAGAGGCCCATCCCACATGAAGGGCAAACAAGATTCGTTAACTAACTGCCCCGAGATTTGTCAACCAATCTGGTAAGCTTTGATACCACTAATTGATTCTGTCCTAGTAGTACCGGTCTCCTCATATGTTCGAAATTCACTGAATGGTATAAAAATCCTATTTTTGAGCAGTGTGTCAGATAGCATAGCGACACAGTCATCTGCTTTATTGTAATCTGCATCAATTAATCTCCTCACTTAAGCGTGTTAACGCTAGCGTAGTAAAAAATCAGTAAAACAAATCCTCTTTATCCAGAGCCCTTCACCATTGCGGTTGATTAAGGGTCAGACAGATTTCGCTGAATAAGCTGAACGACTAGGCTTTTAATCTGATGCATTGCGTATGTAATTAAGACCTACCCGTGAAAAATTAGTAAACGTTTGGAGTGTGTTCACTACACAAAAGCAGTTCTTATTATATCATTTGGCCTAAAGTCGCACACGTACCTATTCATTTGGATTGTAATAAGTACTTTTCAGCCACCTTTTTTATGGCCTAAGAAATCTCTAGCAATGTCCATAAGTTCACGATTTTCTACCCTTTGTGCAAGTGCACAGCAGTAAGATATCAGAGGTGGAATTATCTATATATATCATAATTTGTGAAACTTTTCCGTGAAGAGTAAACCATCTTTAGCAGTAGTTTCTGGGGGTTTTGGATAGCGATGGCATCCCTGTATCTGTTCTCAAGATTCCGCTCAATAATCAATAAACAAACATTAAAAGCTGATCAAAGCAATATTGGGTAATTGTTCTTCTCACAACTTGCAGAGATTTGAGGTTTGTAAGCGCTGCGGTGTAAGGCGAGACAGATTCGTGTATCGATTTTTCTTGGGTGCTTTCTTTCAAAAAACCCTGATAGTGGCCCAATTTATCAACAAACGCATTGCCGTCAATAGAATTTGCGTAACGCTGCCTTTGGACTCCATGGTTTAGTAGCCCGACTACCATTAAAATTAGCAGGTGCGACTCCAGCCGGATAAGTGCATTTTAAAACAACTTATACAGGCACTAAATTTTATTGGACTAGCCACTCCATGAATAATGTCACGCTACCTAATATTTTGCCAACATCAGTATGTATGATTCTAATGGGACTATGTTATGATTTTGCTCTTTGATTAGAACTGATATCAGAATGAAGATCTCTGAATGACACTCCGTTTGACCTTGTTTTTACTTTAAAATCCTCATAGTGCACTACGTGGTGCCCAATATTTTCAATAAGATCTGATTCACGTCAAACCCGTAATTTTTCGTGTTCGTCGGCCATCAGATTTTGCAGGTCCTTTGTAACTTCATGTGTTCTGTAAGTGGCCCTGGACTACACCTTTGGTTGTACCAAGCAGTGGTTTCCGAACCTTCTCCCCCCTCCTAGGTAGTTCTTACTCAAGCCATTCGTTTAGTACACAAATAAACTAAAAATGAGCACGACATATGCTTCACCTTCCCAAAGAAGCTAGGAAGAACAAATATTAGATACTAAAAAGCAAACTTCACAAGCGAATTTTGTCGTAAAACATAAAAAAGGCACATACTGATCTACCCAGTCGTCGGTAGCTTATCGTGAAACAATGAAAACAGTAATCATTGGTTAAGTAAAAAAACCCTACAAAGTATTCCTTCAAGTGTACCAAACTGTGTACTGCAAGAAAGTCCTTGTTCACCTTGCTTTGGATGATACGTAGCAGAGAATGTGTGGCATATATCCTCTGAATCTTCCATCCCGACTCAAGTCGTAATCCTAATTAATAGGCCACCAAATAACGTGTTTGCGTCGTTGTTTCAAGCGTTTGCTGCATGTCCAATGGCCCAGAAATAATCACAAACCTTAATTTTGATATAGTAATCTTTCAATTCGCAAGTGACGTATATTACTTTGGCTCCTGTTCCCAAATTTAAACAAACAGCTGAAGGATGTAGAACATATCGTGTGCCAAACCTTTTCTCAGAGTAGTAAAACCATGCGAAAACGATCTAACTTTTCACAGCAAGGCGAACTGACTATTTCACTCAATCAGACTGATCTTTTCTGGGTGTAATTCTTTCGTCAGGTCTTATCCCGTTGTCAGTTTTAACTTGGGTTAACTGGCTGTGGAATATGATCCCTCACCTGCAATTCTGAAATAACTACTTTCGGATCAAGGATATTTTCAGTGTGACCAGATTGAATGTTGGCTTTTTGTACCATACATAAACTTTTGCTGTGCTTAGGTACTGCTCCCGCCTGTCTCATACTGTTTGACCATTCTGTGCTGCCTTTTGAGTAATCTTCAGTTAAAATGCACTTTCGGTGTTTTGCTGTTTTCTCTGTTTTAGGAATTGCATTACCTTTCACAACAAAGGTATGTGTGCTGACTGAACCTTGGGAAATAGCGTGTTGTCCCCTGCCAAGTCCCGTCTGCTGAAACTAAGCCACAGTTCGATGATGGTGCAAATTCGATGTGCGGTGAACCAATTCGGAACCATTTATACTTTGGCATTCCTTACTTATGTTATTCGGGCAGAATATCACAGTTTTATATTAGACGCGGAAGCAGGCAACGAGGAAAAATCAGCTGTTCACGCTGTGGCCCGGACTTTCTTGTAGGTAGCCTTTGTAGACCGGACTGGTTGCGACGTGAATGAAAAATGTTTCTACTGTACGCATCCACACGATCTATATTTTACAACATCTTACGATGCCTTGGCAAATTTCTTTTCACTAATACAATAGCCCATGTAGCGTAATTGGTACCTACAGACAATCATGGGGATTCTATCTACGCGCGCTCACATATTTCGTTCACTGTCGATTTTTACGCTTCCCTGAAACATCTCAGTTTAGCGGTTTCCCAAATGGGGTTTCCTTGGAAGCTCAAGTTAAATATCCGCATTTTACAATGGGCGTGTATGCCAGTCTTTTTGCTCTACACAGTAGTCATTGATAGACTTGATCCATTAGATCTGCATAGGTAACCATGAAATCAATCTTCCTTCGGGTGATTTAAAATATTGATGCCTTGGCGAAATACTTTCATTTGCAAATTAATTTGGTTTTTCGATAGACCCACCTGTAACCTAGCTGAATCTCTCGTTTGTGATGTTTTCAGGCAACTGAATGTCCTGAACCAGGCCGCCTCATGTTTCAATTGGTACGTTATTCGAGATATCGCGATACATGTACTGCACTATTCATAAGGCCGACGAATTTCCGGCAACCTTATGAGTAGTGCGTTACAAATATTCATGCCTTGTTATTGTTCTTAGCATTGGTTAAAACAAATAAACAAAACACGATTATCCCATCATCATTACGTTATGTTGCAACTTTGGTCATCCACTCGTTCATATCCATTTATGGTGATTTCGGTTGTCAAATTTAAACGCTGTAAACTAAAAGCAGAATAATGTAATTATCAAAGCCAGATTTTTCCCGATCATGCGTTGTATTATTTAGGTGTCCCCTATAGTAATAACTAATTGACGCCTTTTGTAACTTTGATCGGAAGATGATTCCAGCTGAAAAATATATAGCATGAATATCCAAAAGTTTCATCAACGTTGGAGGCGCTGATATTGTCTACGGGCAAAATAGCGTGATGTGTAGAGGACCCATTTTTTGTATTTTGGCCTAGCAGAAAATCCTCAAGAGAAGTTAAACCTACATGGTGGTCAAATGCACAAAGGTAGTCCAAACGTAATAATTTTAGCCCCTATTCTATTTTTTGTAAGTTTGGGATGCTATCAATGTATACTGAATGGAGGTCTGACAAAAACAGCCTCTTATCCATTCAGATTTTTGGGTTGTGTCAAACGTA